ATATTCTCTTGACACAACGTTTTCTATTTTATCTCGGCATAACACATCTGTCACCTACAATAATACTACTCAAGCCGGAATTCTCGAACGGTTTCAGAATACCAAAGGTCAAGAATGACATCGGATATTAAATTCCTGCAGTAGTTCTAGATCGCTTGAGAACAATATGTCCTGAAAAACACTATTTGTAACGCTATTTCCATATTTTCATTGACCCTCTTTTGACCCTTTTTCCTTTCCTTTTCTTTCCTCCCCTCTCCTCTCCTCTCCTCTCCTCTCCTCTCCTCCCCTCTCCTCTCCTCCCCTCTCCTCTCCTCTCCTCTCCTCCTCCTCTCCTTTCCTTTATAACGGCACTTTTAGGGTTTGATATATGTGCCAGTAACTCAGAGTTACTGTTAAACTTGTGGCCCTTTCTTTTCCTTTCCTTTTCTTTCCTTTCCTCTCACTCACAGTAAARTGACCTATAAATTCTGCACCATTTACATATTCACATCAAAGAGAAATATCTGGTTAACTGCTGTCGTTAAATTATGCATACAATCATGAATATTGCTATACTCTATTAAAGTGAAGCTATGAAACACACGTAAATAGACATACTGTGTGCAAAGTTTTCAAATGGTTAGCGAGAACCCAACTGAGGCCGATTTTTTAATCTGCTTATATACTCGATGTAGCATACACTTAACATATAAATTTTATTATTGTTTGGAGGCCAGCACAACATTTTAATCTTGAATTATATCTTAAAGATTCCAATTCCATTAAGCAAAGGTCATCATTGATATTGCTCATGCCTAGAGGTGACTTTTAAAGGTGGATGATAAAAATACCTAGAACGGTTTACGAGATACTTGCTGGTAATTGTTGGGATAGGGCTGGTTTAGAGGGAGGGAYACAATTAGTAATGAAGAAATAGAAAACACGCACGCGTGCTGTGTGCAGTTATAAAGCACTGGGGGTTGGTAGAACCCTAGAGAAGTGTTAGGAGAAGCTCGACACCTAGCGGAGGAATCCCGTTTCCTCCCTCTATAAATTAATCAACTGGTGAGTTGAGCGGCGATATTTGCATAGAACATTGAATGTAGTGGTAGTGTGTGTAAGTGAAAAGTGTCCCCAGTTAGTGTGAAAGCACTAGGATGACTAGACACAGAATAAAGAGATGTCATTTACCTTGTAGTCATGCTGGCCATCATTTTGTATTCTCTTGAAAAGCTTCTGAACTGACAGCATGCAAACACCACCATGAGACATCTGTGTGTAAGTTTTACCTGAAAAYGACACATTGCTAATAAGTAATAGCCATGTAATTTCATATGATAATTATGTCCAAGCTCTAGCAAGCCATGCACACTTTGGAACACCCTAAAAAATATGTACTTTAGATTGGAAATTATACCAGACTAGTAATCTGACTTTAAACCACGTGTCATTCCCTAGAGTATCATTTCTTTGTTTAACGGTTGCACATGAGAAGACACATGAATATGGATACATCTCAAACACAGAATCTTATTCTTAGGAGAATGACACGTGGTCTGAAATGGGAAAACATTAAACCCAAGGTGTTAAAACGAGTCTTTTAGAAGCCTAAACCAGACTTATATTAATCATCATGTTTACCTACTGTACCTCCGGGGGGGGGGGGGGGGGGGAGAGGAGTACTCCCCTATATTTGCTATACGGGTGCGTGCCGCCAAACAGGGTATGGTTTTCAGAGATTCTACTTCTGGAACAGGGCATATAAAATCGCGCTCGCTCTAGGACAGGGTATATGAAATCATGCTCTCTCCTCTCTGAAACATGCCAGGGGCATCTATTTTCATAATACCAGAACAGATTATGGTTTTCAACAACCTTGCTCTGGAACAGGGTATGAATTTCAGCGATTTTATTCTGGAACAGGGTCAGGGTTCAGAGGGCTCAGCGGCACATCCCTACTCTAAACGGGCAAGGGTACTGTACCTGATATATCTCTTTAAGTATAGATACAGAATGCTTTGTCTTTACTTTGTCCTTAAATTTTGTCATGGTTATATGTAGTATTGAGGGTTAAAAATTTAGTGGATATTAGCAACAGGTGGGGTCAGACTATAGCCCCTCAGCCCATCCCATTTGCATGAGTAGCTGAGCATACATAGATACCTGTTCCTGTTTGTCCATAAGCCATGAGAGTGCCATTATACCCCCTGAATGCCGCATCAACCAATGGTTTACCAATTTCTTTGAAAACCTACAAAATTAAAACCCCACATTAACATGTATAAGAGGTATAATYAATTAGTAAAAATACAMAGGTGATTATTGAAAATCTCGCGCGCTGATTGTTCAAGAAACTCACACTATCACACRATAATCACCTCCAGCGATAATCCAAAATGGCGGTCARMAGCTTTGTTGCTGTTACCGGAAAAAATGTCTYTTATCTTCTTTTTTCTTTTTTTGAAAGAATCACCTGTGTATTTATACTAAAACAATTATTTGCCTCAGCCTCAGTGAATATCGGAAAATATTTACCTCGCCGCTCGATGACTCGTGTCTTGGTAAATATTCCCGGATTMACTTCRCCTTCGGCGAATAATTGTTAATAGCAAGAGTACTGACAGAGGAAATTACAATAGAGATACATGTATATAAGGGACTTTCAAATAGTCGTGCGATTACCCTTCTGTTTGATGCACTGGCTGTGAAGATGCCATCAAAATTAAATCTCTTTTCCTTACCATCACTGAAAACAATCTGGAATAAAATTTAAAACAAAAGCTATTTAGTACTAAGCCTCTACATTCTGCACTGCATTGCACTGAACTGCATGCATTGCACCACAATAAACAACATTACACTACAGCTCGGGGGGGAGGGGTACTCCGCCAGAATTTGGGTAGGAGTGTTCAGCTGGGATTCTGAAAGGGGTACCCTGTTTATGACAAAAGATATAATTTATTGCACTGAGTTCCTGTCACAATTATCATGTCACCTCACGTATCGTTTTTTTACGACCATATAATAACCAGTTTCGGTCAATATGAAAGTAGACTAACCCTGAATATGACAGGAAACTCGGGAAGAAATTGGAACTTGAGTGAAATTGCATACTCTGTTTATGACAAGAAGCTCGAAAAACCATACCCTGTTCAGCTGATCATCCCCATATAGTCCATATATGGGAGTACCCCACCCCCCTGGGCACTACAGTCACATCCATCACACTGACTGCAYGGCACCACTCACACTGCATCGCACCTATGTAGAATGTTCTGTCATTTTAGAATCATGAATTTTAATTAGTTTCTGTAGCCGTGACAACTCTAGATATGACAGAAAAATGTTTTAAATTACTCGTATTTTGAATTCTATATATATATATATATTTTGATTTGTTTTGTTTATTGTTTTTTGGTTTTTTTTTCTTTTGAATTCTATATATCAAATTCAGGGACCACTGCAGGTCTCAGAACTTATATGATCTACGATCCAAAAATTAAAAACAGTCTCACATTAATAAATATTTTGAAAATTAAAATCCAAAGACCCTGAGGACATTTGGGATGTCATTTAGAAGGTTCCATAGGTCTCTACAAAAAATATGAGCAAGGGGTGTAGGGGGGGATCAGACAGAGAAAGAACAAAATTAAAGAGGTTGTATGGAAGAAAATTGGAATTTCTAGAAGGAAGGGGCGGTGTATGGATAATTTCTGGAACTATGGAAGTTGACGCAAAACATAAAAATAAAAAATGAAAATGAGCAGATGTATTTTTTTTTCTAAATGCTTAAACTTGTAAATGTAATATGTTTGCTTTGATAGTCCACACAAATTCTCATGCCTTTTATTGGATTAGATATTTTCGTTTAATTCATTAATTTTTGTTTTTGTTGAGATATTAACATGTAAATGCTATACTCTTAAATCTAATGTTAAATGAATTTTTAYTACACTACAAAAATAAAAAGAAAGTTGTGGCCTAAAGGCATGATTAAATACACCCTTCTCATAATCAGGGCTGTCAACTYTCCCGGATAAGCCGGGAGTCTCCAGATTTTAGACCGTATCTCCCGGTCTCCAGATTAGAGTCTCAAATCTCCCGGATAATCCCCGAAGCTGACCATTTCTTGTGAGACTCGACTTTCATAACCATAAAATTCCGATTATTTTGTGTTGTTTGTGTTGTTTTACATCGCTAACAAAATCAAAACGTTCCTCATAAACTGTTCTTGCAAGCAGGCCATTGTAATATAAGCGATAATCTGATTGGTCAGAAATAAACCAATCAGATCAAATGTTACAAAGCGAAAGGCRTCTTTTCGCGCGCTTTTTGACGCGCTGTGACRTCATATCCCTTCCCTATCAATTCTCCAGATTTGAATATCTCAGGGGTTGACAGSCCTGCATAATGGCTGATGAACGCACGGAAACAAGGTCACCCAGTCATCTTGCAAGGTTGAGCCAAGCTGCTCATTCAAAATAAAGGCTGTTAGCCCAAATTCAGACCAAAACAAAGGTCTTTTACTTATACTTTTCTTCTTTAAAGTCATTTCATGTAATTTTATATCTTTTATTGTGAAATAATGACTRGGTGACCTCGTTTTCGTGCACTTGTCGGCCATTAGGAGAAGGGTGTATGGACCACTTTTAAATGGTAACATTGTTGCGACACAAGTTGCAAGAAGCATTGYAGTGTGTAACCTACACAGCGCAATATGAAAAAATGTTGCATGACATTAAGTTGCATCAACCCTTGCAATAAGTAAAATTCCTTTCTACTTTTGGCAAGGATTRCATCTCCATTGAACCATGTTAACCCTATTACAACTTATGATGCAACACTGTTGCATGACAAGTTGCAGAGAAAAATACTGTTTACAAATCTGGTGCCTTAAGGACAGAGCAGAAAAACGACAAGGCTGCTACTTTTGCAATCTCTCATTCCTGCCAAAAAACATTTAGTGTTTCATTCGTGTCTCTTGTGCTTTAAACTTTTCRCAAAATTCTGCTAACCTCGAGCAATTCTACTATTATTAGTATTAGTGAAAATGTTAGTTTTTGTGATGATCAAAATATTATCTCTCCCAACGTTCAGGGCGCTATTTCTCAAATACACATTCCTTAAATTTCCCCAARTTTCGATATTTTGTTAATCAGCCCCAAAAGAGCCTGTTTATRAAATATAAAGCTTATTAACGCATAAACGTCAAAAGTAGAACCCGTTTTTCTGCCCTGTCGGTGCCTTAAAGCAAAGTATCATTTTTTCCAAAAATACAAAATTTTATMACTGAAAATCTTGTTTTATCTGAGCTATATTATGATGTGCATGCTTCTATGTTTTCTCGTTAGCTGCTCATGCAATGACTTGCTCTATATAAAAATATTGTCTATTCAATACCATTCAATGCTTCAAAATTATAAAAACAGCATGCTAAATCAGCAGGATAAAATGTTTTCAAAGCAAAATTTATTTTTTTTTGAGTTTCAAACGTGATTATTTCTTAAACGAACATAAACAATGACAAAACTTAAGGTTTAATTTCGATTACCAACTGAGTAAGATTCCACATTTTGTGCATCGATAAATTTTTACTGTATCACCATGACAACCACCAGTGGGGGATGGCAGTCATGTTGAGCTGTAATTTCCATGCTCAAAAAAATAACTTTAAAAGCATTTTTTAAACACCTTTAAGGATCAGTGGCGGCCATGTCTTACTCATTGTTTCCAATATATTTTTACTTGTAAATTAAATAAAGTGCAAACAATATAACCGTGAAACTTTAGTAATACTATAGCACAATTTCATGCAAATTCCATTGTTTTCTATTGCTTAATTTAAGCACTATTTTGTACTATTTAATAATTAGTGTTTTCATTAATTGTTTGCTCTCTATATTAATTGRCCCAATTATTATATTGTAGCATTGTTTTTCTTTCTTTCAAGGTGTTAAAATGCTTATCATTCCAACTTAAATGCCTGCCTTTTACAAACAAAAGTGCTCAWAAAAGAACAAACAATAAGAACAGCGTGGTTTTGCATTAAAATAACAATTTATATCCCAAGAATTATGAGYCATGCAAGAACACGTTTTTGAAAACATCTAAAAACTATTCAACATTTTGATCTTTCCTAATGTATGTTTTTTGCTCAATCTTTCCACGTCTTATTAACGATAATTGCTAAAAGATAAATTCAATAAGTGCAATGTCCAAAATTGATTTTACTTTAGATCTGCATAACTAAACATGCAATAGTTTGAAAGCATGAATGAATTTTTTCATTCAGTTTTTGGAATGCAAGCTTTTATTTTCATTTACTTTTCTAATTTTGATTAAACAATAAAATTATTATAGCTATATTTATAGTGGTTCTTTAATATCTTTAGCGCCTAAATAATTCAACAGTTTTGTAAAAATACGAGTTACCTAGATAAACTATGTTGGAAATTATTATTCAAAATGTTTCAATTATTTTAACTGTTGCGTTTAAGATTTGCGTATTACAAATTTGAAGAGCCACTTTAAATTAGAAACCCGAGAAGTATATCTTATTTATTTAGTAATAATGTTAAAAGAAAGAAAAATTGTAAAACAAATTATCATATTTTTTGCGGTATGAATTTTTAATATTTTTTTCTTACGGAATATAAAATACATAATGGGAAAAACGATTGTAATAATATCATTATATAGTTTAAATATTTGAATTCCTTTTCTAGATATAAAACTTGTCGAAGATAAGACAAATAATATGAAAGCTTGAGCAAATACATTATATTTTTGCACTTGAAGTTTAGTTTTTTATATGAAAGTGCTTTTAATAAGAAGGATCTCGTTATATAACGACCACGTCTATAAGATAAAGTTGCCCTTTTTCTTAAATATCAATGTCTGTTGACGACACTACACTAACCTCATTTCTTTCTGTTATCGTTTCAAAACCAACTGTTTCTCCTCTTCTAAGTTCTTCATCATTCAAAGGTCGAATACGCACAAAAACACGTATTCTGTCAACCTCTATAAGACAAAAGTAAGGAATATTTCAATGTCTAGCGGTCTGAGAAGGCGTATATAGTTGAACAATACTAAAGATTTACTAGCTTAACGAATAAAAAAATAAGTAATCTCCCTCGAAATCTAGATTTAAAAATGCGATGAAAGCCGAGACTCAATACGCGGAGTATTTTTTTGAAGGTAAGAACGACAAGGTGTGGATTTTGAAGCCTTTTCCAACACAGCTTTCAATTAAAGGAAGGGTGCGAGTTAATACAGACATACCTTCCTTTCCTCTCACGGAACCTTTCTTTTCCCTCATTACAACCAAGAGATCTTCCAATCCTCCATCTTTAAAGACATATAGGAGACTTTATCCGTTCTGTAATAGTATTGGCGGGATATTTCCCCGACTAGTGAAGCGAGCCGCAAACGCCAAACAACTCCAAGTAGAGTATTTTTGGAGTATACGTCTGATGACTCGGTACATTAATATGTAAATTCTTCAGCTGACCCGATTAAATATTTGTAGCCGATTTGTGCAGAAAATATTCGAACACCTTCGAGTACAGTCCAAATAAATGCTAACCTTTTGTCCTTTTTGTGCTATTAAAGGTTATTTTAGATGACAGATGGAATATTAAAGACAAACATTCTAGACCTCACGCCAAGTGCGATAGTTTGCGTATTTATTTTAAATTATATCTGGTTGTCACGCAAGAGGAATGAGTTGCGAGTTTCCGTCACACAACAAATCATTTAATTTAATTAACGATAAAAGAAAGGAAGGGAAAGGAAAGGAAAGGAAAGGAAAGGAAAGGAAAGGAAAGGAAAGAAGAATAAATAGAATGCAGAAATACGTTTTCGGTAAATGTAAAGAGTTTGTCCAGTAAGGAAAGAAAGGAAATGAGTTTATTTTTATAGTAAAACCACTTCCATTAACATCACTTATCTTGGATTTCCTCGTTGATCCAGAGAAAACAAGTTGAAATGTGGTAATGGAACGGGGAATTAAACTGGTCTTAAAAGTGGACCTCGTATCGACAGATTCTGTTCTTTATCATCTCATTGTAGATAGCGGAATAACGACTGCGAAAAGCTCGCGACACAGTGACGGTCGTGACACGACAAAGCACGGGCCAATCACATTGTTCGAGAATTTACTCTGCATCCCATCAAAGCCTAGTCTCCTTTGCAGATTAATCCAACGCCCGGAACACGGCATGAACACGGCATGGACACGGTCACGCCAAGGTCACGGCACTGCCAGACCAATCACATTTCGCAAGTAAACAATCAGCTAATTAAGATTCTAGAAAACATCACGGTCACGGCAAAACACGCATACGGCACTGAGCTTTTCACAGTCATACGAAATCTGCGTCTATGAGGACTTGTTTCAGACGGTCTCGTAAAAATAGATGCGTATAATAGACCGGCCATTTCTTGTTCCAAATCCCGGGGGAGGGGTACTCCTTTATATTCACTATACGGGTACGTGCCGCCAAACAGGGTATGGTTTTCAGCAATTCTACTCTGGGACAGGGTATATGAAATCATGCTCTCTCCTCTCTGGAACAGGGTATCCATTTTTGTAAAGGGTATAATAATAATAATAATAATAATAATAATAATAATAATAATAATAATAATAATATTTAAACTGCATCTTAAGAACATTACAGTTAATCTAAGTTTAGCAAATTTTATGATGAACTTTTTTTATTTATTTATTTATTCTTTAACTCGATGTCCAATTTTACAGATTGGGTTACCTGTGGGTTTTGGCGCTCGTGCGCAGCGAGCAGCGAGACTATTCACGATTTCAAAAATATTTTATCTGATCAATATCGTCTCTCAGCGCGTGCGCGTAATCGTTACGCAAGCGCGCGGTTCGAATTAGGTTATTTGTTACCATGGTGAAGAAAAGCGTTGCTAAGAGCAAAAACGACGATTTGTTCTTTGAAAAGCGAAGAGCGCCCATTGTTACCTAAGCATCGATTGTGTCGTTGTGATCGGCAATTGTTACGATAGATAATATGACAGATTCAACGATTGTTGACACTTCTGTTAGGACGAATAAACTTCGAGAGGACATTTTACAGCTTCAAGAAGGTAAAGAATGTACAAAGACTACAATAGAAATCACCGTATCGAAGAACAACGAAGAAAAACGCGAAGGAAAGGGCAATTATACTGGAGGAATCAAGAACTCCATAGTAACCGAAAAGAAAGGCTCTAACGACTCTCTTGATTTAAATATTCATAGAAATATTTCTATACAATGGAAGCCTCTGTTCAAGGGTATTCCAGTAGATCCAATGGGACAGACATTTCTTCGTATGCCGCACATTTGTCATACTGTCCAAGCACAGATGAGACAAGAAAACGCGCACAAAGTTAAGCGGCCAATGAACGCCTTCATGATCTGGGCAAGACAAAACCGCTCTACCATCGCTAAACGATATCCTAGTGCGAATAATGCTGAAATTTCGGTTAAGCTTGGAGAGATTTGGAACGATCTGTCGAGTGGACAACAGAAGCCTTACTTCGACGAAGCTGCACGTCTAAAAGAAAAGCATAAGATTGAGTATCCGAACTGGGTTTATCAGCCTCGTCCAGCTAAGAGACCTAGAACTGTGGAGCTGCCTGGGAGCAATGCTTGTAATGCAGGTCAGCTGTCCGCCAAGGCATTACCCGTGAAAACAGAAGTTCCTCAAACTCAAAGCTCGTTTGGAGTCCGTCATAAACAAGGACATCTTTCTCATGTTCAGCCGTTCTTTACGTTGCAAGGAGCAGAGGCAGCTAAGCCTACACTTACTCAGTCACTGCCTTGTACCATTACATCGACGGGCGAATCAAACCGAGGTAGCCATGGATTCATCAATCTATCAAACTCAACAATTGACCATAGATTGATCAAACATATTTTCGAGCAAAGCGATGGCATCTCGCCAGAAAATTCCGCCAGCCAGTCTGAAACAGAACTCAAAGATAAAAAAATAGGAAGCTGTAACTGGCTAGATCGTGAGTACAGGAAGATTGAGTCAGGCACCTTTGCGCAGACTCATACTCAACGCCCCGAAGAAGATGGCGAAGTCGTCAAACAAGACGCCATGTTGACTTCTGTGGAAGTAAATGAAGTAGAAAACGAAGAGTTGAGTTATGATAATTGCGAGCTAGATAAATATCTCGCTGGTTTGGATGAAACTATAAAGAAGAGCTTGGAAAAGCTCAATGAAGTGCCAGACGAACTGGATCTTCTTGACGATGACTTGGATAAAAAGTTTGCAGAGCTTGAAGACGACGACGACGATGATGACGATATCTGAAATATAATTTTTAAAGTTTATACATGAAAATAAAAAATATTCTAAGAATTGCTCGCATAAAAATATGATAGATAAAGGATAATTACATTATAAAAAGCAAAAAAAAAAAAAAAAATATAAAAAGCGTACATTAACTAAAAAAATATTTTGAGCTCTGTAAATATGATCAAATAAAAAATGTTTTGTAAAAAGAAGAGTTTTATTGTCTTTGAGATTATATTTTCCTTGAAAAATATAAATTCAAAAAAAAAAGGGTCTTCAAATCATAAGGCAATTCTTGTATTTAGTAAAATCTAAAAATATTAAACCAAAATATTGGGTATTTTTTGAATTTTTAAACAGCAAAATTCCCACGAGTGGAACATTTGCCATTGTGTCAAAAAATTCAGTTTGAAATTTTTAGTCATCTTGAATCACGAGGCACTGTATGTATCTGGGGTTGTGTTGGTCGTGTAATTCCAAAAAAGGGTGGAATAATGTCCAGGCAGTATATCTGCTTCTATACTTTCTCTTCTTTTTCACAGTTGTCTATCAGTGGAGATTTTTTCTTTTCAAAAGCTTCAGCGGTTGGTGCATTCGTTGTTTCCGGAAGAGTAAGGCAAGCCAATCCTGTGAGGAAGGCCGTGACAGCCATGATCGAGTACGGCAATAACACGTGAATGCGAACCTAGCAAAAATAAATAAATAAATAAATATTCCCTGATATTTTAGTATTTAGTGAATATAATAAATAACGGAGAGAGAGTTTTTTGTCTTTTCAACTGTAGCAGCATAAGACGTAAATTGTAACCAATGAGCGCGCTGGTTTTATTATATTATTTTGTGTAAAAATACTGAAATAATAACAATAATAATAATAAAAATAATAATACTTAAACTGCATCTTAAGAACATTACAGTTAATCTAAGTTTAGTAAATCTTATGATGAACTTTATCCATTTATTTATTTATTTATTTATTTTATTTTATTTTATTTTTAAGTGAGTACCATCTTAAAGAGCACTATATAATAAACATTTAGAAACTACTATTAGAAATAAGACATTTTACGATATAGCTATATCTATATATATATTTCCCCCCTCTATAATTGGTTTTAATTGATTGTACTATTAGTCCTGTCATGCTGGTAGGTTGCGGAATTACGCCCTATCTAGCTTACCTAATTAGCATTCAAACGTGTTTACTGCTGATAATAGTAATAATAATAATAATAATATCATAATAACAACAACAACAACAATAATAATAATGATAATGAAAACAACAATGACAACAACAATAATAATAATAATAATAAAATAATAATAATAATAATAATAAGAGGCAAGGCCAGGTAATTTTGAATCTAGGCGTGCAATACATTGTTTGATACAACGAAAATTTCGAAGTATTTTCTATTATCTCTCGTAAAAACGCAATATTTTCCGACTGCAATGACGAAATATGCTGTTTCTAAAAGATTCGTTCGAGCTTAGAGAAGCGAAATCACCCGGAAACTATAAATGGCTGACGAAAGAAATGTATGGTTGTTACTCGTTTCAGCCCCCTTATGAGTTTCTGAGTACACTAATTGAATCCATGTCCACTTACCAGCCAAACGATAAAAGGTGCAGAGATAGACCCAATACGTCCAACTGCTGACGATGACCCCATGCCAACATTCCTGTGATTCAAGCAAAATTTAAACACCTATTTTAAAAAAAAGTGTCGGTGCGAGATCTGAAATAGGCGATCTGAGAGCATGCGTGCCACTTATGGTATTGCCTAAGCCAGAAAAACGAAACACGTTGGAACTGGTGAAAGCACAGGTAGCCCAAACTTGTTTGTGATTTACAAGGTAATCTATGGGAATTACGGAAGAGATACAACGCAGGCATCCCAAACAAGCTTAAATTAAGGCTCCTGTATAAGGCAATCTATGGGATAGAGATACCGAGAGATTAAAAGAGGACTTAGATTACGCTGGAACTTCTAAATTAATTAATCAATTAACTTTGTTTATGGAGGATAACACTTGACAGTAATTCAGCTGATAAACTCGTGGTCCTCTTTTAACGTCTCTAGTTAATTAGGGACGGGACTGCCATTAACGTGGTCATCCGAGCCGAGTGAAGGTCTAACCATCTGCAGATGTAATTACGAAGGCAGCACCTTCTTCCTCAGTTATTTTAAGACCCTGAGTGTTGGTCCGACCGAGGCTTGAACCACGACCTCCCGCACAACAGACTAACGCTCTTACAATCTGAGCTAAACGGGTGACGGTCTTTATTCATGCACTTTATTCATATAAAATTTTCAGTTTGCCTTTCTCCTAAGAGAAAATATTACATGTACAAGAGTTTTCAGTGTTTGGGTTGCCTATGTTCTAAGAAAAGCACTTGCCTGACGACAGTGGGAAAAAGTTCTGCAGAGAAGATGTAGATTGTAGCGAATGACATGTTGATAAAGAACTTGGCTGTCATGGCCATGATGATGCGACCGACAAGGAAACCTATAAAGGGAGTGAAAGGAAATGACATAAATGATAATTCAAAAAACCCAGAAAAATTCTGTTAGGGAGAATTCATTTGTTGGGAGTAGGTTGGGGTGGGCTGGAGGAATCCCTATAAACAGCATTGTAAAATCTTTAGCCCCCCCCTTCTGTCTGCATAAAAAAGTGACCCTCCCCTTTATGTAGAATGAAATATTTGACGACCCCCTTTTTGACTGAGTAGAAATTTGATGGCCATTCCCTGAATTCCTTCGGCCCACACCCCTCCAAAAAATGAATGAGATTAGGTAGTTCTAGGTGAGTTAAAAATAAGTATAACCTGTTTCAGAATTATCTTTTTGAAGAAGGACAGCACACGTGGCAGCAAAACTCGCAACCATGAGACCCAGGAAGTTGGTCTTTTTACGACCAATCCTGTCGAACAGAATATTGGATAAATCAAAATATTGTTGTGTGTGGCAAACGTTCTTCCTACAACACTTGCTATACAATACGTCCTGCAACACCATGAAACCTGACAAAGAATACGATACATCCTGCAACACCAAAAACCTGAACAAGAATACAATACATCCTGCAACACCAAGAAACCTGACAAAGAATACAATACATCCTGCAACACCAAGAAACCTGAC